GCCGATGCTATAACTACGCTGTTCGGAGTTGGGGTTTGGTTGCGCTGCCCTGTAACCTGAGTGAAGCGGGGGTTCGAGGCCTAGTAGAGTGATCTAGGGAATTGCCAAGGGTGGAAGGCATTCCAGTGGCTAACCGCGAGTTGTTGCTAGGATGACGCTGGCCGGAGTTGGGGCAGGTCGCGCTGCCCTGTAACCCAGCAGCCGGGGATGCAAGGCCTGGTAGAGCTTGGCAACTAGGATAGGGGGTTGAGGCAGTTGTAGGATGGTCTGTTGAATAGCACTGGGGTAATGTGGTCTTGCTCATGTCGGCTCCCAAATAATCTTAGTCAATTTCACTCTTTTATAAGCAAGTTTGCTGCTCTCGGTTGCTCCCAGTAGTTTTTAGAATGCCGTGAGATTTTAGGGGTTCCTAGCAACTCACTGTAGGCTTTTCTGATGTCGTAATGTTCATAGGATTTGTGGTTGTTCAATGCCAGAACGACGTTGGCCGGTGTTGGGGCATTGCCCTGTAACCTGTTGACAGCAGGAGCATGAGGCCTGGTAGAGAGATTTGGGGATGCTTTGGGGTGGGCATTCCAAGGGACAACCAAGGGTTACTGTCGGAACGACGCTGGTCGGAGCCAGGGTGAGTCGTGTTGCCTTGTAGCCTAATACGGTGGGGGTGTGAGGCCTGGAAGAGCCCGACAGTGAATAAAACAGGGTTGGAGGGCCGTAGAGGGTTTTGTTTGGGGTCCCTGGGGGATTTGAGTATTTTGAAGACTTTTGTGGTGTACCGTCTGTGGCTATCAAGAGTTTTTAAATTTGTGAAGGTTTTTAGTGCTCCAAAGCTATATTGATGCTCTTAGTCTCATATCTCAGCTATTCTTACCCTAAGCTGGGTAATAGCCCTGATATCTCAATTGCCTCGCATATGTTTCCTAATATGTTTTCTGATGGGACGCTGGGTCTGGTTCCTAGTACGTGATGCTCCCCACGAATAGATTGGAGAATTGTCTTTGGGGAAAGAAAAAAAAAAGATTAGATTGATAGATTAGATTAGATAAATAGATTGATAGATTATATAGATTAGATAGATTAGAAAGATAGATAAATACAAATGGAGAGAGAGAGAGAGAGAGAGAGAGAGAGAGAGAGAGAGAGAGAGAGAGAGAGAGAGAGAGAGAGAGAGAGAGAGAGAGAGAGAGACAAAGCGACAAACGAACAGAGAGACAAAGAAACATACAAACGAACCGACAGAGAGACAAAGAGACAAAGAGACAAAGAGAGACAAAGAGTGAGGCATAGAGACGGAGAGAGAGATGGAGAGCGAGATGGAGAGCGAGAGATAGACAGACAAACCAATAGAGACACATAGAGAGAGAGACAAAGAGAGAGATAGAGAGATGAAGAGAGAGATAGAGAGACGAAGAGAGATAGAGAGACGAAGAGAGAGACAAAGAGACGAAGAGACAGAGAGAGAGACGGACAAACAAACAGACAATCGGATAGATAGATAGATAGGTAGATAGATATACTTTGATTGATAGAGAGACAAATAAATAGATAGATACATAGATTATTTGTAGATAGACTCTTATTGATTGAGAAACATATAGTTAGATTAATGAGGTGAGATGGGTATATCGACCCGCAAGGGCTGAGGTCCATAAATAGATAGATAGATGGATGAATGAATGGATTGATAGATGGATGGATGGATGGATAGATAGATCGATAGGTAGGTAGTAAGGTAGGTTAGGTAGGTAGGTAGGTAGGTAGGTAGGTAGGTAGGAAGGTAGGTAGGTAGGTCGGTAGGTAGGTAGGTAGGAAGGTAGGTAGGTAGATAGATAGATAGGTAGGTAGAT